TTTTTAATTGTTTTAAAAATTATAACAACTTTTAAATAAAATTAATGACCTAAAAATATTATCAATTAAATCATAAATAATTTTATTTTATTTATGAAATGACTGTTACAGCTAATTAAAATGTGAATTAAAGATAATATTTTATTTTTAAAAAGTTGAATAATTTCAAATTCATTTTTAATGGAGGTAAATTAAAACTTTAATTATTATTGTCATTAAAAAGTTATTACAAGTTTTAAGATATTATAAGTCGTGAAGAGATTAAAAATATTTGTTTTAAATTTGAAGAATTTTTCAGTGACTTGTTATCTTCAACTGATGAACTTAGAATCAGAGCTTAGAATTTAGAACATTTAGAAAGCCAGGTTCGAGTCAGATAACAGTAAGATATCAGTCAAACGTACCACTTCATGTCAAATATAATGTATTTAGAATGGAATATTCTAAAATAAAAAACAGAACAAGTCAAGAAATACACATATTTGCAGATTTAGCTAAATTAAAAAAGAAATTTCTCCTGGCAGGTTACCCACAAAGACTGTTCAAAAAATGGAAACTTAAAATAAATAATCTTAAAAAGCCACAAGACAATAAAAAAACAAATGATATAAAGTATATCGGCTTTCCATACATCAAGGGACTACACAAACAAATTGATAATGAAATAAGTAATATAAACTTCAAGTTAGCACCGTCATACCAAAAAATGTATACAAGGCTTAAACAGCTAAACACTGAGAAAAAACAACTACCACCAACTGAAACTAAGAATGTAGTATATAAAATTCATTGTACTTATAGAGATAATAAATATTATATAGGAGAAACTAAAAGGAAGTTAAAACCAGATTAAAAGAACATATAGCAGATCTAAAATACAATAGATCAAATTCTGCCTTTCATGATCATTGCACCCTGAACGATTGTAAAATAGATAAAGATAAAGTACAAATACTCCACAAAGAAAAAGAAACATATCATAGAAAGTTCAAAGAAAGCGTAGAAATTATCAAAAGTAATAAATGTATAAATAAAAATCTAAGTATTAAAATAAACGAAAACTGGCTCAATATCTTATAAAATTAGGAATGTTTTTAAAGATTTTTAAAATGTTAAGATTTTTAAAGACTAACCCTTTAAAAATCTCTTTAAAGATTTTTAAAGATTAAAAAATGTTGCCACAAGGTGGCCTACTCGTCATGTGATTGTGTAGTAGACAATGGGCTTGCTTAACTGGGGGAAAAAGGGGGAGGAAAGATCAGGGAAATATATTATTGTTAATTGTCTACTTGGACATTATTTATTAATAGGACTTATAAGTCCTATTAATAAATAATGTCCAAGTAGACAATTAACAATAATATTAGAATTTAAAAGCACAATAAGGCTTTTACAATCAGGGAAATATGTTCGTATGGGAGGATTACTTCGATATTGATGAAAGACTAGTATGTAAATTTTAATCGTTAAATCAATTTAAACGTGATTGTAAGTGTATGGGAGAAATTTTAAAATTGTTTAAACTTTATAACAATTCAAAATGAATAACTAGGTATTGTACGTAATTTGTAGTATTGTTAGCAAAACAAATGTATACAAAATAATTAATGTAAAATCTTTAGATAACATGCAGTTAAATATAAAAAATATTTTCAAAAAAATTTTTTAGATAAGAAGTCGAATGTTTTAAATGGTTCAAAACCATAAATAAAAAATTTAGTAAAATGGGCAAAGGAATTTTATAGTTTTAAATTTCAATAATTGTAACCAAAAAGGTATGTTTATAAATAACATGGCCTTATATGTTTATACTGTTGTAACTTGTGAACTTTTATTTTAGTTGGCTGAAGAGGGGCAAGAAATGCCCGAAACGTGAATAAATGAGAGGAACACGTATCAACTGAATAAGATTTAATTCTGTGATTTGCCAAGTGTCTGTATAAATACAATAAATAATTTGTGTTTGAATTACAAAGATTACTGGCACGGTTTCAAAAATACCAGCAATTACTAATACTGTATAATAGCCGTTATCTGTGTATGTTTGTGCATGTGAATTCTTTATAACTCGTGCAATTTTTGTTCAATCCAGATGAAATTTTGATTATATTGGTTTTATGTTCTGACGGAAAGTACAGTATAGGCCAGCGTTTCTCAAAGTGGGCGATAACGCCCCCTTGTGGGCGCTGGAGGCTTTCAGGGGGGCAGTAGAAGGCTCAAAGAGAATTGGGGGCGTTAAGGAAATATATATAAAAATTTGACGGAATATATATAAAATGTTGACATTTTATATATTTTTTATTTTTTATTGAAGGTCACAACTTGAATATTTCTAACACATTGACTTTTATTTTAGCTCAGCGTTTCTCAAAGTAAGCAATAACGCCCCCTTCTGGCGCGATGAATAGATCTATGATAGAGGCAGGGTATTGAACGGTAACCAAAGGCAAAATTGGGGCTGATAAGAGGAAACATTGCGTTTAATGGTTTCCAGATGATGAGAACAATGTACAGTAAGGGCACAAAGTGTGAGATTCATAGAAAAGTTTTCCTAAGAATATTTCCAATCCTTTTCTCACACAAGAGAAAATGGGTTAGGGGGCGTTGGGTATAACTTTATGGAACAAAGGGGGCGGTGGATCGAAAAAGTTTGAGAATCACTGGTATAGGCTATTTATTTTGCGGAAATATTAGCTATAGAATAAACGTTTTATCGCACAGTGATCACACTATTGTTGCAGTGACGTCATTGACCGCGTGACGTTCATACTCGACGAGGGATTTTCCCTTAAGTTACATTTTTACATATTTTGGCAATTGGCGTATTTTAAACTTCATTAAATTTAAAGTTTAAAAATGATAGCCAATCTATTATCCAATAGGAAGTAACCGTAATTTAAAAAGTGTTATCGCCCATCTAACTAACGTAGCGGTACATACAATTCATCTTTGTTTTATCAACGAAGAATTAAAAAGACTCACTATTTTGTAAAAAAGAAAAAAAAAAATGCCAAGGGAAAAGTGTAAAACTCTGTTGCTTTATCCCATTCAAGAAACCGAAACAATATTAAGCCGTCTATTACTAAAGGAAGACAGCAAGGAAACATTTTAAAACACAATAGAGCGTTTACTCAGAATGTAGAGTATAAAAAATTTTATAAAGAAAGATTTTAATATTTCTTTTAATTTAAAGGCCATCCATCATCTGTTTATATGTGCGTAAGTGAATTCTCTATTACTTCTACCATTTTTGTCCACGCAAATTTTGTTTTGTTGCTCTTTATGTTCCAGGCCCACCAGTAGCCAAGCGGTTTTGTTCCCCGAACACTGGTAATTCGGCCGTGGGTCGTGTCTGGCCAGGTGGAGTTTTCCGGGTTTTTTCCAAATCATTAATGCCTAAATAGGAGCCAGTTACCCTTAAAAGACCTCTCGGAAGGCATCCCCCCACTAGGCAGATCGCCCAAGTGTTGCATTGCCATACATAACAAAACAAACAACTCTGTGTTACAACAATTAGTGTACACTACTTAATTTGTAGAAATATTAGCAAATTCTCTTGAAATATCTACTCTTCTCAATTCTTCAATCTCAACTTGCTCATAAAAAGTATTCCATCATGCTTCACGGGAATTTTTAGTACTAAATATCAATATCTGTTGGTCTACTTATTTTTATTGATATAAAAATTGCAAGTTTTGCAGATTCATATTTATGTTCCGTAAATAATTTTTATTTTCTTTAAATATATTAAATAACTTTTACAATTACTCACATTTGTATTTTATTAGAAAAAACTACAAATAATAATAATAATAATAATAATAATGCTTTATATTTGAATTTAGAATTTTTCCTTCTAGATTGATAGATTTACACACTGTACCACGGCGAAAAGAGTTAGCTACAAAAAAAAACCATTGTCTAATGTAATTAATGTCATTTGTATAAGTGCATCTTTACGCAATCACTATTACACTATAATATAGGACATTTTTGAACAAAAATCTAGAGAACACTTAAAATTTTGCCTGAAAACTCCGAGAAGAATATTTTCATCTCAAAACATTTGTTTAGAATATTCTGTGTGTATTAATCGTTTATTTTTTTTCAGGATGATCGGTTTGATTGCCGGTAGCATGCATACAGTATTGATTTAAATCAGTAATTATGAATACGGTATTTCAATTAAATAAAAAGGCAATATAATGCACAATTTTTTTTATTCGTTTTCAATTTATCTTCTCTCAGATCATTATATTCTCTTTTGTCATTACAATAATTCTTATCCTGCCATTGCTAAATCGGTACATTTCGTCACTAACATATCTACTCTGCTTTCTGATATCTAAAAATAAAAGAAATGAGGGATTACATTTTTATTTATAAATAACCATGTTATATGCTTTAATTTAATAATAATAATAAAACTCGAATTACGCCTTACTTACAGCATTTCTAACATTTATGTTTCTATTCAGACATTCCAAATACTGAAAATTAAAAAAAAAATTATTTTCTATATTTTATGTTTAAAATTTATGTTTATAATCTACCTTCATCTTTTGTTCGTTACTGGGTTTTATTCTCTCGCAGCTCAAATCAATAAATTGTTGCATGTCTCTGACGCCAAGATATTGAGAACATGTGAGAGCCATTTCGAATGCCTGAAACAAAAAAGAAAAATTCAAATATTTATTTTCAGCGGCATGATCCGATAATAATGGAAACTGCTTACTTTGTATGTTTCTCTCATGCAACCAATAAATTTGTCCTTTTGACTTCTATTGGCATCTATTAGATTTTTNATCCCTATTTGGGCGAACTTGTCTTCAAATATTAAAAAATAGAAAGAACCATCGGACGAAAAAATTACGGATAATATTAAGATATCGGTGTGTTGTAAATCGAATTAGTAATGAAGTTTTCTTATGCTTGTAGAATGAATTTGAGGAAGTATACAGATTTATCTGCGCAACGAGGTAAAGGAGATTTAAAATCTTATAATTCCAACGGAATTTTTGCTTAACTATTAAAAATATAAAAATGAACTGAAAACCTTGTTTCTAACAAATTACTAAAAGAAGTCTGTTCCAAATCAAATCTCACCTGGATTTTTTCCATAAAATGTAATTCCTCAGACAAGTAATTACACTAATCATAGCATATTTTTTATACCTTTATATAGATAAACTAAGAAAGAATTGATATTTTCATTACGAAAGTATGAGTGGTATTCCTTCACACAAATCAAGATAGTTCAGTTGAATGTTCATGCGTTCTAATATGTCAAATTCCAGATTCTTATAATCGAGGAAAAGCGTCGACTTTATTTTTTTTTTTGCTTGGAATAAAATGTATTTTCTCGGAGCTAAACCGTCAATATTTTGTAGTTTGTCAGGTTTGTCCATTGAGCGAATCTGTGTTCACGCACAGTGCGAATCTGGCAATCTATGTGAAAAAAATCAATTTTTCTACTTAATCCAAAGTGTTAATTTATTTTATATTTCTATAGACTATCCATATCATCTGGGAACAGAAGTAAGTTGCTTCGAAATGCAAACGGTTAGCAAAGGCATAAATTTGACTGAACTTGCAATAGGCATGTATAGCTCTGAATATCGCGTATCTAGTTTACTCGATCTGTGTGCTCTCCTAACAACATTCAGAGTTTATTGTATGTTTGAATCCTAATTTACACAGATTTTCTTTATTACCGGTGATTGAATTTTTTCTAAATTAGATATTGTCGACTCGAATTTTGAAAAGGTGAATAATTTTTATTTGATCTAAAAGTTCTTTTTGAAGTTTACCTAAGGTTTTAGTATTTCTCTTTGTGACTATATGATTATTAAAGCTAGTGCCTTTGGCATTTAAGTCATAAAACGTTTTGCGCAAATATGCACATCAATTTTTTTAATTTTTAACAGATGACATCATCAATTTTTCGGAGAGCCGTTTTTTCGAGATACGGGACAAAAATCCAAAGAATTCGAAGTTTGAGTTACATATGCTCTTCGAGAAAGGGGGAGAGCATATTTTGAAATTTCTTTAATATAATTGAACTATGTTACAGTGATTTTAATTATTTATTGTACAATAATTGATTAATAAACTGCCATCAACAGCAACACTGCATACATTAAAACTATTGCACAGATATCAATTTAGATGTAGCCATTGTCATTATTAATAATTAATATTACTCTTTTGCCATGTGAATATTAAAAGGGATTAGATTACTTGTATATGGTGTAACATGACACGTGGGGAGGAGTGTTTCTCGGGAAGACTTTCAATGGGAAATTGACCCCTATTTAGGTGTCACAAACGTGAAGAAAATTCTGAAAATTCTACGTTGTCAGACTGTCGGCGGTACGCAAACTGACAAAAAACTACAAATGTTCAGTGGTTTTTCCACTCAGATACAGGTAGGCAATTCTAAAAGGCCTTCAATCCTGTTCATTGTGGGTTGGACCATACTCCCAATGGTAGGTTTGGTCCAACCCACAATGGTGAGGGAGGGGCTCAACGTATCAGAGATAGTGCTTTCAGCGCCTTATTTACTGTCTAATTTGAGTTATAAAATAAAGTCATTTGCTGCCCAATTTAGACTAAATAGATTTTCGATAAACCTAAATGGTAAAATATTTAATGTCATATGACTCCGGATGTTCTTTTTGTGGAACAGCAATGGATATGAGAAAACACCTCGAATCTTGCAGTATTCTTATGGATGTTCGAGTTGCTACACTGCCATCTGATTTTTGTTACCAAATTTTATTTGGTGATAATTTTGCAATGCTAACTTTGTATAAATTATATAATTTCTTTGTTCATGTATCGAACTTAAAAAAAATTTTAACTCCCTTTGTAACACTCGTTATATCAAATAAAGATCGATTGATTGATATTATGATAACATGACACGTAGGGTGGAGGGCCTCTCGGGAGAAATTTCAATGGGAAACTGACCCCTATTTAGGTATTACAAACGTGAAGAAAACTCGGAAAATTCTGCGTTGTGTGGGTTTCCAGACGAGGTTCAAACTCGAGTAAACCGTGGAATTCTTGCGCGGCACAAGATGTAAACAATGAGACTCGGAACGTTTCGAGTTATGTGTCAAACTATCTGTCAAGGTCTTAGCGGAAGACAAACTCTAATACGAGCGCTCATAAACAGGTAGATCTTTGACTCGCGAGTCTATAAAATGTTGGCCGAGATAAACCTTTTCGAACAAAACAAGGGAAACTTTTGATAGATGAAAGATGAAAATGATCGTTAAATTTACTTAGACGTAAAAAATGGTAAACAACGGACTGAGTTATGAGTGCAGGTGTTATTGCTTTATAAACAGTCACCGAGCAGAGTCGACAGAGGTATCAGATGGACATCTCGAATCGGACCTTTCCCGCGACCCGAAAATGTTTCGTCTTGCACCTGGAGACAAAGGAGAGACCAATCGGAAGCGAGGAATGGGAGGAGGGACCAATCCGAAATGCGAATAGTGGGGGAAAAACTATAAAAATCGGAACTTCAAGGTCGAAGGAGGGTCTCTGGATTAAGCCTACAGTTGTGCTTTATCTATTGTGTTGTGTTACCGCCGATCACCTAGGACGCCGCAGCTTAACACCGAACATCTGCATCGTCCAGCGATCCTCGTCCGCCGGGGCTACGACCGATCACCCGAACGCTCACCGTTTCATAGGAAAACCGAGAGTTTGGAATTGTTCAATATCGATATAAGCATGAATTCGAACAAATACAGTAGACCCTATAACGCGGGTTCCAATAACGTAGATTCCTATAACGCGGCGAAAAAATTGTGGCAGTATTCGTATAACGGAGCGCGTAAAACGCGGTAAAACGTCATCGCCAACTCGTCATCGCGGATGAGCAGCCGAACTATTTTCCGCCGTCTAGCGCCACGCTACGGAGAGTTTAGGCGGGTAAGTTGAGTTTAACTATCGTCTGTACAGTATTATATATAAATTAGGTACTGTACATATAATTATATATTAATTATATATAAATTAGGTACTGTATATATAATTATATATTAACTTAATTTATTGTAACTTTATTATAATTATATATATGCTTTCTGCCGCCTGGCAACACGCTACGGAGATTTTAGGCTAGTAAGTTCAGTTTATTATCATCTGTACAGTATGTAAATTAGGTACCGTAAGTCTAATACAGCACTAATTTTATACATTTCTTGTGAAAGAAACACTTCTTATTCAACGGCCATAAAAATTATTTATATTAATGATGTCTCCAAAGGTCAAGTTATTTTT